GCCATGTCCAGGACTCAAACTGTGGTCAGCCATGTGAGAGTCCAGCACCCTTTATCCAGCACACCACCTGCTGGCCCCTCAAATATATTTTTTTAAATATGGAAAAAGCTTTTAGTTATAAAATTTCATTCCAAAACACTGGAAATGAGTAAATTTTATAGGAATCATAAAATATGTAAAATAACTTAGTTCAATATCAGGAACATATAAATTGTTTAATAAACATTACTTACTAAGTTTTTTTCCCAAAGTAGTAAGGGGCAAAGTTGACTGATACCAGATTAGTGCATCAATTTTAATTGAAATCAAAAGATCTCTACGTTCAACTCTTTCAACTTTGGTTTGTTGAAAACACTGTCAAATCACTCTAGAGTATTTTTGTGATCTACAGATTAGAGCCCCCTAACAGGGACTCAGAAAACTGTCAGCTATGAATAAATAAAATCTAAGAAGAGTTCATTTAATATTGCTACTGGGCCAGCAAGTGGCATGGTGGTTAAGGCACTGGACTCCCACATGTTGGACTGCAGTTTGAATTTTGGACCTGGTGGCATGCTTTCTCACTTCCTCCTCTCTCTGTCTGTCTCTGGTGAAGGCACATGCCCTATAGCAAACAAAACAAAACAAAACACCCCAAAAACCAAAAATAATTCCTGTCATGCAGATTTAAAAATCAAGCCTAAAGATGTAAATAGAGTATTATTTAGCATCATTACTATATATATGATTCAAAATTACAAAGATGTTCAAAGATATATATTTAAAAAGGTTATGTCCTGTGACCAGCAGATGGCATAATGGTTACGTTGCTGTACTCCCACATAGTCGACTATGGTTCCAGTCCCGGAATATATGAGAGTAATGTATTCATTTCTAGATAGTGGTAACATTATACATTATTCTATACTTTACACATCTAATTCTAATTTTTATACATTTATCTAGTTATTTTAATATTTTATACATCATTCTATAATTTGCTTTTTTTTTAAAAAGTCTTTCCATCAGTATATCATGTCACCTAATTTTATTTAATGGGTAGATATGTGAGTCCTAATTTAACAAGTCTAACATTGATGGACCTTGTTGTTTCTAGTTGTTCATTAGTACATACTGCTGTGAATATTGGATATACTGATTTAGAAAGTGTGTATTAACGTTGGGTTCTGGGACTAGTAGTGCCTTCCTACCTTTTTGAACTCTGTGCTTTATAAGGACAGTCTATTAATGAAGATTTCATCCTTGCTCCTTACTATGAATGTTTATGGAGTGTCAAATCCATGTCACTGCTGGATATAATGGAAATTGTTAACAGTAACTTGAGAGTTGTGTTGTATTGCCAAATAAGCTTATCCTGGAACACAAAGTAAGTATTTGCATTATATGAATCTAATTTAGGAGAGCTGGGGAAGTGAATAAATTCAACTTTTTTTTTTTCTTAAAGTTTTTGTTATGTGGTGTGTATGCTCTCTGGAGAGAGAAATCAGCTCTCCATTGTTCTCTTCTCTCAAGATTTTGGCCACACATGCACACACACTGCTGTGAATTTTTGAGCCACTGGGTCTGGGACTCAAACTGCCCATTTGGCCATGTGGGATCCAGCCACCTTAACTTTCAGCCCACATGCTGGCCCTCAACTTTCTTGAGTCTATACTTGAATAGCCAGAATAAGGTGGACAGGAGGTGTAATGGTAGAATGTATTGAGAACATTTTTAGAGATACGTATCACTTCAGACAGCATTGTGATCTTTGCTGAATTTAACCACTAAGAAAAACCCTTTGGGGAAAGAAGCACCCGATTGAATATTTTAATAGGGAGAAAGCATACTTTTAAATTAGATTACTAATTTGGAATGAGACCTAGGATTGTTGCTAGGCGGAGAAGATAAGCACAGACATTTGTAAAGAATAGTTTATAAAGCATTTTCGAATATCTTAATGATCCTCACAGCAAGCTGGCAAGTTAGATATTACTACTGTTTGTATTTGACAGATGAGAAAAACAGGCTTGAAAAGGTCACAAAGCTGGTGATGGAGCCAGATTCAAATGTGATTTTCTAATTGGAAAGGCCTGCAATATGAAGGCTTTTTGTGCCTTGTATTCAAATTCCCTCCCTCCTCCCTTTTTACCCCCATAGAAACAATCTGCAACAATTAACTACAAGAGCTGCCACTATATCAGCACTTAGGACATTTTCTTTTTCTTGACATACACTACAAAATGTTGCCATTTCATCAACTGTCTCTGAGTTTGGTACTCTGAGTATCATGGAATCAAAACTCCAGCTTTTCTTTTTGTTACCTTAAAGTGGTTTTGGCCAGTTGTTATGTCCTTTTTTTTTTTTTTTTTCTTTCTGGATATTATCTTAATGTTTGGGCAGATTAATAGTGAAGTGATAGGGTAAAAAACAATGACTAAAGAAATGTTTATATTTAGTGAAGATTTTGGTCCATAACTAGAAAAAGCCGTGAAAGTCGTAAGTGTTCCAGTACTTGGTCTGGCTTCAGAACTGGGATCTCACACAAAATCCCTGGGTCTTAACCTTGGAAGAGGTGGCAAGAGAGGGAAGAGAATAGTACTTTTTTTTTTCTTTCTTTTTTTCTTGTAAAGTGTTTCATGGACTAGAGAAATCTAAAGTAGAATATTAGGCAGCCAGGTACCTACTTTGGAGTATGACAGGGGTCTGATTGGTGTGAAACTCAGATATAAAATTTTATGGTTTTAACCCCAAAATTTCCGGAGAAGATACCCAGCTTTTACTCTCAGTTTCAGAATGGTGTACTTCATCACAATAATGTTTCCTGGGAGGGCCCAAAATAACTTCTTTTGGGGCAATTCTTCTATAATTGTAAAGGAATTCTCTGTTCCTGACACTTATGTAGAACACTGGGATTTATAAGATGACAGGGGAAGGGTGGAAATAGTATTTGTACGCCTACCTTGTCAGCTCTTGAACGTTCAGTTACATCCTCGGTACACCCCTTGAGTGTCGTTATCCCCATTTTACAGTTGAGAATAACTGAGGCTAGCAATTTCACACTTTCTTTAGGGAGATAAGACATGCACCTATATAAACAACATGAAGCAAGGTAAATATTTACAGTGGCAAAGAAAGCCAGCGTTTGCGGGACCGCAGACACACTTGTACCAAGTGCCTGCTCCTACAAATGAACTTCCCAGCGTGGCCACGGGCTTGCATCCGTAGGAGTGAAACCTGGAGGGTGCGAATCCACTAGGGATGTCTATGCAGGACAGGAGCGAGCAGCCCGACTTCCAGGGTGGAAAGCCGCATCTGCGTGCCCGCGGTGCTCTGCATTTAAGGAAGTTGGCTGGGGGAGGGGGCTTGCCTTGCGGCTGCGTCTTGCTCCCTGCGCCCTCCCCGCCCCCAGCTTCTGCTGCCGCTAAACCGGAGAGCGGAGCGTGCACGTTGAGAGTCCTCGGCGGGCCTGGCAGCTGTGCTGGGCATGCTCAGTGGGCAGGACCCGTTAGAGTGGCGAG